CTTTAGTTTTTTAACTATGTTTTAACTATGTTTATTTTAACTATGTTTATTTTTCCAATCCATGTGCATGGAATATCTTTCCATTTTTTAATGTCATTTTTGATTTCTTCCAAAAATGTCTTATAGTTTTCAGAGTATAGGTCTTTCACCTCCCTGGTTAAATTTATTCCTAGATCTTTTATTCTTTTTGTTGTGACTGTAAATGGGATTGTATTCTTGAGTTCTCTTTCTGCTAGTTCGTTATTACTGTATAGAAATGCAACTGATTCTTGTAACTTGATTTTGTACCCTGCAACTTTGCTGTAGTTGTTGATTATTTCTAATAGTTTTCTGGTGGATTCTTTAGGGTTTTCTATATATAGAGTCATGTCATCCACAAACTGCAAGAGTTTCACTTCTTCCTTTCCAATTTGGATACCTTTTATTTCTTTTTCTTGCCTAATTGCTCTGGCCAAAACCTCCAGAACTATGTTGAATAAGAGTAGCAACAGTGGGCACCCTTGTCTTGTTCCTGTTCTCAGAGGGATGGCTTTCAGTTTTTCCCTATTGAGTATGATATTGGCAGTGGGTTTGTCATATATGGCCTTTATTATGTTGAGATACTTTCCTTCTATACCCATTTTATTGAGAGTTTTTATCATGAATGGATGTTGGATCTTGTCAAATGCTTTCTCTGCATCTATTGAGATGATCATGTGATTATTATTTCCTCATTTCGTTAATGTGGTGTATCACATTGATTTGCGGATGTTGAACCATCCCTGCATCCCTGGTATAAATCACATTTGGTCATGGTGTATGATCCTTTTAATGTATTGCTGTATTCAGTTTGCTAATATTTTGTTGAAGATTTTTGCATCTATGTTTTTCAGTGATATTGGCCTGTAATTTTCATTTTTTGTGTTGTTGTCTGGTTTTGGTATCAGGGTGATGTTGGCCTCATAGAATGAGTTAGGAAAGCATTCTGTCTTCTTTGACTTTTTGGAATAGTTTGAGAAGGATAGGTATTAAATCTTCTTTGAATGTTTGGTAGAATTCTCCAGAGAAGCCATCTGGTCTTGAACTTTTGTTTTTTGGGAGGTTTTAGATTACTGTTTCAGTCTCTTTACTTGTGATTGGTCTATTCTTTTTTTTTTTTTAAAGATTTTATTTATTTATTTTTTCCCCCAAAGCCCCAGCAGATAGTTGCATGTCATAGCTGCACATTCCTCCAGTTGCTGCATGTGGGACGCGGCCCCAGCATGGCCGGAGAAGCGGTGCGTCGGTGCACGCCCGGGATCCGAACCTGGGCCGCCAGCAGCGGAGCGTGTGCACTTAACCGCTAAGCCACCAGGCCGGCCCTTGATTGGTCTATTCAAATTCTCTATTTCTTCTTGATTCAGTTTTGGGAGGTTGTATGCGGCTAAGAATTTATCTGTTTCTTCTAGGTTATCCAATTTGCGTATAGTTTTTCATAGTATTCTCTTGTAATCCTTTGTATTTCTGTGGTATCCATTGTAATTTCTTCTCTTTCATTTCTATTTTTATATATTTTAGCCTACTCTCTTTTTTTCCTTAGTGAGTCTGGCCAAGAGTCTGTCAATTTTGTTTGTCTTCTCAAAGAACCGGTTCTTAGTTTCATTGATCCTTTCTATTGTTTTTTAGTCTCTATTTCATTTATTTCTGCTCTAATTTTTATTATTTCCCTCCTTCTGCTGACTTTGGGCTTTGTTCTTCTTTTTCCACTTGCTTTAGGTGCACTGTGAGATTGTTTATTTGAGATTTTTCATGTTTGTTGAGGTAGGCCTGTATTGCTATAAACTTCTGTCTTAGAACAGCTTTTGCTGTAGCCCATAAATTCTGGCGTGTCGTATTTTCATTTTCTTTTGTCTCCAGGTATGTTTTAATTTCTTCTTTTATTTTTTTCATTGACCCAATTGTTGTTCAGTAGCATTTTGTTTAATCTCCACGTATTTGTGGCTTTTCTGATTTTCTTCCTGTAGTTGATTTCTAGTTTCATACTGTTGTGGTCAGAAAAGATGCTTGGTATTATTTCAGTCTTTTTAAATTTATTGAGACTTATTCTGTGGCCTAATATGTGATCAATCCTGGAGAATGTTCCATGTGCATTTGAAAAGAATGTGTATTCTTTGGTTTTTGGATGGAATGTTCTGTATATATCAACTAAGTCCATCTGGCTTAGTGTGTCATTTAAGGCCAATGTTTCCTTATTGATCTTCTGTTTGGATGATCTGTCCGTCGGTGTAAGTGGAGTATTAACGTCCCCTACTATTATTGTGTTACTATCTATTTCTCCTTTTATGTCTGTTAGTAATTGCTTTATATACTTAGATGCTCCTACGTTGGATGCATAGATATTTACGAGTGTTATATTCTCTTGTTGGATTGTTACCTTGGTCATTATGTAGTACCCTTCTTTGTCTCTTGTTACACTTTTTGTTTTAAAGTCTATTTTGTCTGATATAAGTATTGCTACCCCAGCTTTCTTTTCATTGCGATTTGCATGGAGTATCTTTTTCCATTCCTTCATTTTCAGTTTGTGAATGTCTTTAGGTCTGAAGTGTGTCTCTTGTATACAGCATATATATGGGTCTTGTTTTTTTATCCAGTCAGCCACCCTATGCCTTTTGATTGGAGCATTTAGTCCACTGACATTTAAAGTAGCTATTGATAAGTATGTACTTATTGCCATTTTGTTACTTTTTTTTCTGGGTGTTTTAGTAGTTCTTCTCTGTTCCTTTCTTCTCTTGCTCACTTCCCTTGTGGTTTGATGGCTTTCTCTAGTATTATGTTTGGGTTTCTTTCTCTTAGTTTTTTGTGTATTTATTATAAGTTTCTGGTTTGTGATTACCATGAGGTTCATATATAATAACCTATGTAAATAACAATCTATGTTAAGTTGGTGGTCTCTTTAGTTTGACCTCTTGCTAAAAGCTCAACTCTTTTACTCCCCTCCTCCCACATTTTATGTTTTTGATATCATATCTAACCTCTTGTGTGTTTGTATCCGTTACCCCTTATCATGGAAATAGATACTTTTTTCCTATTTGTGGTCTTCTCCTTCCCCCTTAAACGAGTCCCTTTAGCCTTTCTTGTAGGACTGGTTTCTTGGTGATAAACTCTTTTAATTTTTGGTTGTTTGGGAAACTTTATCTCTCCTTCCATTCTGAGAATTCTGTCATTGAGATTGTAAATTTCTGTGACTTCAGGATTGGTTTTCCTACTGCTCTGGAGTGTTAATGTAGTTCTTCTTGGTGTTTGATGAAGTGATCCTTTGCTAGCGCATAGTGGTAGTATCAGGTTGCAGATTCCATCTGCCACCATTGGGCGGGGCAGGAGCTGTGTTTTCTGAACCTGCTGCAGCTGCTGGAAATTGTGCCAATATGGCTTGTCTGTGTTTGCCTGCTGGCTACAGCCACTTGGTGGGTCACGCACGCACAGGGGCTTTGGTTCAGATCGCCTTGGCTGGCGACCGCCAAGCTGGTGTGCTAGGTGAGGGGGTGAGGAGGCGGCGCTTTCTTTTGCGTGCTGTGTGCGGGCCTGCTCTACACTCACGGGTGGTTCACCTGGACTGATGCGCTTGGTGGGGGCACCCACGCGGTGGCTGAGCTGCGCCACTTGATGTGGAGCGTTCCTGTGTGCCGGGCTGCCAGTCCGAAAGGGAAAGCAGGCCTGCCTGCTCTTCTGCCTCCTCTTAGAGTTGCACGCCAGCTTTTGTGTTAGGACCCATGGCCTAGATCGCTGCCGTTGGGGAGGGGAAGGGATCCGCTCACCTCTTTCTGCTGTTTCCCAGGGATCCAGTACCCCCACCTTCAGATGTATGGCTGTGTAGATCTCTCAGATGTCCTATTGTGCTTTGTAGGAAATCCTCTGTTGGTTAATGGATGTCTGTTAGGCTGTAACTTAGAGGGGAGAGACTAAGGGAACAGCTCACTCTGCCATGATGCTGACGTCACTCCTCATGTTTTTTTTTTTTAATTATTATTTTTGTTTTTGGTCTCTTAGGCATTCACTATTACAGCCAAACACCCATGCTATGTGTTTAATAGCCAGTAGTGTGTCAGTACTTAAAAATGAACATGAGCATTTCATGCTGGCTTTTCAGATTTGGAATCCAAAAGCCTTTTCTGGCAGTTCTGGCAGAGTGATGGCAAGTGAAAATGAATTCAGAGCACAGGCCTGATTTGTATCCTCAGGACCCTGGGGGTCTGAAAGCTCTGTTGGTGAAAGGGAAAGTACATTCCCACGCAATCATTACTGTACTTAAACTAGCACCATTGTTTATGGAATGCCACCTGTCGTCCAGGCACCGGACAGGAATCCTGCACCTCGAGTCCAGGGAGGTCAGTACAGGCCTAGGGGGCAGTCAGAGCTGAGGAGCAGATGGTAGCTCACTCTGCAGGCAGGGCAGGCTGGGAGGATCTTGAATTGGGAGCTACAGGGAAATGGGAGAGGGAGCCTCTGGGACACATCACCCTCACCTCCTTCTCCTACAACAGGCCCTTCCCCTCCAGCTTTGCTCCTTCCCCCCTGCGCTGCCCCAACCATGTTAGAACAGATCGTTCAGCCCTCCCCACCATGAGCCTCTTCAGTGTTGAGTAAGTGGAATTTATGCTGGATAAATAACCTGACAACTATAATGAGTTTGGAACCATAATGAGCTCACGGGTCTACCCTCACATTTACCTCACGTTTTCCTTGCGATCTCTAACTTTCCCTCCTTCCAAAAATAAAATCATTGTGCTAAGACACCAAGTTAATTTAATTATTTCAGTGAATTTAAGTTCTACATCCCAGTAGGATGTGGTATAGCATCAGTTTATTTATATGTGATCTCTTGAGTGCTGAGCATATTTTATTAACTGTTTTAGATATAATGTAGTTTTAAGTTTTTACTAAAACCATCCTTTTTCTTTTGGCTTGCCGTTGCTTTTTGCTCATTAAAATGTGTTATGTTCCTGTTAACATGGTTGATGATAGGGTTTTTTTTTCCTTTCTAGTTATGAAAAACCTCCTCCTGGGCTTATCAAGGTCAGTGTGAAGTTTATACTTTTGGTTATTCTCTTAGACAGTTGACTCAGTGCTCAAACTCAGTAATTTATGAAAAACAGTTGCATAAGGTTTTAAACCTGCTTTTATGATAACCCTCTTCTTCCCTGCAGATGCCAGTCAGTTCATACACTTTGGGCTTTGGCACAAGCCTGTGCCTTTGTAGAAATTTAATCAGCTGTGTGTTTGTTCCCTGAGAAACTGCAACAGGCCCCTGTGTGTTCCTCAGCAATCACTCCCCTTCTGTCTCGCACTTGTTGGCTGCATCTTCTCAAAGCTCTGCTGCCCCATATTCCTTCTCTGACTCGCCTGGTGCTGGTTTCTTGAATGTCTTCAGCTCAGAGAAGAGTAGGCTCTGATGAGAGTTGAAGCTCATCCAGTCCAGCCTCTTCTGGTGCAGGATTCTGTCCTCCAGCATCCTGGCCACAGTGTTAGTGTCTTTCTGTGGGAGTGAGTGAGACTTAGAGGCGTAGTTAAAGGACAAAGCAACCTTTTCTGTTTGGTAACTTGTAATTAAAAACAGGATTTTTACGAGCCGGCCCCACGGTGTAGTGGTTAAGTCTGGCATGCTCTGCTTCGGCGGCCCAGGTTCACTGGTTCAGATACACCACTTGTCAAGTCATGTTGTGGTGGCGACCTACATACATACTAGAGGAAGACTGGCACAGATGTTAGCTCAGGCACAGTCTTCCTCAAGCAAAAAAAAGAGGAAGATGGGCAACGGATGTTAGCTCAGAGTGAATCTTCCTCACCAAAAAAAAAGATTTTTAGAAAATATTCTTCCATTGTAAATTTAATATTCATGGAAACTGAAAAGAAAAAAGCTCCTTAATTGTAAATGCAGTCCTTCATTGGTGAAAATGCATAGCAGAGATAGAGAAAAGATGACAGTGGCCTTCAAAGGATAATAAGCTATTTTAATATAACATGCCATTTTATTATTCCAGGTAGCTGGGTTTACTTTAATTCTTATACCTTGCCTCATTCCACAAAGATTTTGAGGCAGTGAAACTTTTTTTTAATCTTAGAATCTAATTTACATTAGAATTTGGAGCTCATGAAGGACAGATTTCTTTTCTGCTTCACTAGTAACATTTCTCTAAGAACAGGTAGTTTGTTTTTGTGATATAGTTCTTCTGGTGTATTTCTTTCTGTTTTTTCTGTCAGTTCTAAGTTTGTCTTTCTTTCCAGTTCTTGGGAGGGTTATCAGTGATGACACGGGGATCTCCAGCCCATGAGAAAGCCAGGCAGTGCTGTGTTCTGAAGCAGGTGGGAGAGAATTCCAGTGCCTTTTTGCCATATTGTTTACACGTTCTTTCTTTTTTTAGGAAGATGAGACTAAGCCAGAAGACTGTATACCAGATGTTCCAGGCAATGAACATGCCAGGGAGTTTCTGGCTCATGCACCAACTAAAGGACTTTGGATGCCACTGGGGAAAGAAGTCAAAGTTATGCAGTGTGAGTAAGGAAGAGTTTGAGTAACACTCAATACACGCAGGTTACGTACCACAATTGACAAAGTGTGTTTACTTCTTTTAATTAATTGGTTCTCACCACAGCTCTGTTAAAGTCCTGGCATGATCTCTACTAAGGAAGCTGACTAGCATATATTAGTAAGTGGTCTGAGGTAAGAGGCAGAGCAATGCTTTAACTCCAGGGCTTCTGACTCAAGTGCAGTGGTCTTGCCACAGGAGCGTAGCTGCCTCTGGAGTACTCTCCAGTAATATTCCTGTAACTCAAAGGTATTCCATGGTAGAAATGCCATAGGGGATAAGGGATGCATTGGAGGGCAGGTCCCTTTGGGTCTTGTTTCAGTGAGTTATCCTCCATCAGTGGTGTTAAGGTTTTATCCCTGTAACCTGAGAGGAGCTACGGGCCACAGAGGGTGAGTCTGGAACAGGTAGAGCTCTGCGTGCACACCCCTCACCCCACCAGAGCAGCAACACCTTCATCCAGCATAAGATGGCATTTTAGGAAAGGGTACTGCTGCCTTTTAAAAGACATTTGTAGAAAGATTATTCATGCACATAATTAAAATAGCACTTCCCAGTCTCCTTTTCTCCATTCCCACTTGAAGCTGTTTTAGTTGGTTATTTTGATATTTATCTTCATATGTCTAAAGATCATGCTTGTAGTGTGTTGATTTTTCAGGTTTAGGCATTATCTGTTGACATTGTACACTGAAAGATGAGAATTTAACTCTCTCCTGCTCTCACCACACATGTGTACCCTTACTATATCTCATCTTCCCAGAAATAGTTTTATCATAATTTTGGTTAAATAAGTCTTTCATATTTATTTTATTATGATTATATTTAGAGCTGAGTCATAGAGTAAACTGACTACTTCTCCTTTCATGCATCCATCAATGCCCTCCCTCCCCCAGTCGTCTTGTTTTTAGGTTTTGTGTGTGCGTGTGTGTGTGTTGTTTTGTTGTTATTGTTATGATTATTTTTGGTTTCCATGTCCTGATTTCTAATTCAACCCCAAATTCTTCCCAAGCTTGAATCTTAAGACCTTCAAATGCTTGAGCTATACTATCAATTTCATCTTAATGAAAATGGTTGCTCCCATGTTTATCATCCAGAGATCTGCCTTTGCTATGTATTATGAATTGAATGTTTATGTCCCCCCCACCCCAGATTTGTATATTGAAGCCCTAATCCCCACTGGGATAGTATTTGGAGATGAGGCCTTTAGGAGGTAATTCGAATTAGATGAAGTAATGAGAGTGGCTCTCAAGGTGTAGTAAGTTCTTTTTAAAAGAAGAGACACTAGAGAGCTTGCTCTCTTTCCACTGTGTGAGTACACACTGTGTGAGGACACAGCTGTCTGCAAGTCAGGAAGAGAGCACTCATCAGAAACCAACCGTGCTGGCACCCAGACCTTGGACTTCTAGTCTTCAGCACTGTGAGAAAATAAATTTCTGTTGTTTAAGCCACCCAGTCTATGTTTTGTTATGGCACTGCGAGCTAAGACATCATCATTCTGCAGTTTCCCTTAGCCTCTTTCCTGTGTTGGATCTTTTGTTTCCTGTATGTTGAGTTGTCTTTGTTGTTATATTCTCTTATTATGGGGGAGCACATCCTCTTGCAGCTTGCTTTGAAATGGGTTCATAGAAGACAAAATTTTCAAGACCTTACTTTTCTGGAAACATCTTTATTTTACAGATTTTTTAATTTGCCAGGGTATAGAATGCTAGGTAAAAATTAGTTTCCTTGATATAATCTTATATCTAGAAGACCCTAAAGATTCTGCAAAAAAACTGTTGGAACTAATAAATGAATTTGGCAAAGTAGCAGGATACAAAGTCAACACGCAAAAGTCGGTTGCATTTCTATGCGTATCACTGTATACGATGTGAGGTTTAGGTTGGGTTCTTTTTTTTTTTTTTTTTCATTTTTTTTTTTTCTTTTAATTTTTGTTTATTGCAGTAACATTGGTTTATAACATTGTAAAAATTTCAGGTGTACATCATTGTACTTCTATTTCTG